AAACATGGAGGTCAGGTATGCTGAGCTCAAAAAGTCAGAGTTATGCAGAGTTTAGAAAACCAGAGCTAGAGCTCCCCTCAAGCGAAATAATAAGCTGAAGCAATGAGGAAGCAATTGATACTACAAAGAACTCGACAGGCGGTTTGAAGTAACACTCAACGCACAAAATCTTCAACTAACCAAGATACTCTCCTAAAATCAAGAAAAATTCCTCGGATAGATGGCGAGGATCACAGATCAGATCTCATAGATTAAGGGATACCCCTATAAATACTATGTAACGCCCCCCAACAGAGGAGCAGAACCCTAGTATCACATCTTATGTTCTGTAAACCTTTTGGTATAGTAAATAGTGAAGGAAGGAGCAAAAATCTCTATTGAAGAGTGGATTAACTGAGCTCTTGAGCTGGTGAACCACTATATTTCTACTGTGTTAATTCTCCAACTCCCCAACAATTTTCAGTATCATTCTCTCGAGTTTAGTAGCTCAGATCCCAATAATTCTAATATTGTTTCTTTCATTAACTCGTTGTCACAAAATTGTATCACGTTGAAATACACCATCAACTCATTTCTATTTTCCATGTAATTTGATGTTTAAGTATCGATCTTCTATCTTTTGGGACCCACTTTTCATAGAAATGATATAATTTTTAATTAAACTGAATAAATGTATTAAAGCAAAAAGTAATCCGAGTTTATTGTGTGATGAGGGTACCAATAGTGTTTCAAATGGCACAAATTGACTTTTTTTTAGTACATTGGACTTGTCCAAGCTAAGTACGCTGAAGAGACAGTTTGGAAACTGTAAAATCAGACAAAGGGATTTTGTCTAAGGTGAGGTTCTATTGTTTGATAGATACCTTTTGTCTCCTTTCCTCTTCCTCGATAGTCAGTGACGAGCCCGGATTCAATTGGGTTAGGCCTAATTAATGAGATAGGTCCAAATCAATTATAAGGTGAGTCAAGTTGAATTCATGGATTCGACCAAGTCTAGAGTTCAAAGAGTTCAGAAGGATTAGAACATGTAGAGAGTAATTATCAGGATAGTTGTTCTCAAAGATTAGGACAATCTTTAATTATAATTACCTTTTGTAATTATCCTCCCCAAATAGCTATTATCTTTACCCTCACGTCACCGCTTTAACAAAAATTTTGTGTCTATAAATTATAAACTCTCACTACATGAGAGGGCACATCTCTCTACACTCCTCACATAACTTTTCTTTCTCATAGCTATTGTATTTCTTCAGGAGCTAACTATTGCTCCCTCTCTCTCACTTACTATTTCATCAATAAAAGTTTTTCGGCCACCGTTATTGTTTTCCGGAGTGAAGTAGGTCACTCCGACCAAACCACTATATATCTGACCCAATATTTACATTATTGTTATTGATTACTTTATTAATTGTCCATTAATTACACTTTATTACACACTCAATTGTTGATCTTCGTATAAGACTATTTTGTGCATCATCAGTAGGATAGAGTTCTCTCTGTTTTTCCTTCTGCTTAAGGGCATTGTAACTTTTAGAGCTAGTTGACAAATTCGGTATTGTACTGTTATTTATCACTTTTGTGGATATTTTTGTCATTTTTGTGGGTATTTTTATTATTGTTGTGGTAACTATTTTTTCCATTTTTTTATAGTACTTGCAATTTATCCTAAAAATGTTAGTCTTGTTCCTCCTTGTTTCTTTTGTATTGGTGTACATGTGCCTAGTCTTTTTTTTTGGATTCAATAGTCAGGGGTATGTAGACCAGCTTACACGCATCTCGACTAATTCCCTCCCTAGTTCGATCAAAGACAGATCATCTACGCCAAGACTAGGGTATTCATGAGGGATAAATATCTCATGGCTTAATCTCAAAGAGTTATCAAAATTCAAACTTTGGGTATCTGAGTTTACAGTTCATCCCTATTACCACTTGAATTACTCCATGGAGTTTACATATGCCTAATCACCACCGAGGTACATCTAACATCTTGCTAAAGCTAAAATTGTACAATTTTTGGCAAAAACTACAAAAAGTTCAAAATCTATTTTGAAAGAGGAAACACTTTTGCAGTATATGTTGTAAGCCCACTAAAAAATATTAAGTGCTTAGTGAGTAACTCTTGTCAATGATTTAAGGAAAACACTATGGTACCATTTGATAATGACAGTGAACAAAACTCAAAAAGGTGGTAACTTTCACTGGAGAAAAAAGTTGTTTAGTGAACCCAAAAAATGAGTGTATCCTAAAAATTAGTTAGCTTCACCTAAAAGATAGTATATATTAAATATCTATAAAAAATGATAATTGACTCGATAACATAATCTTTTTTTCGGATACCGATGGGTCAAGCCTGAAGACTCAACTCAAGATATAAGCCCAACTTAAATAAAGGACCCAACTAGACGAAACCTAGTGGGTCCAGCCCAAAAGAGGTCTACGCCCAGTCAGGCTCACTAGGATTCGACAAACAACATCACCTAGGAGTAGGCTCATCTATGCTGCCTTGAAAAAAGTCAATCGCATCATTCTTGGACCTGATCTTAAGGGAAGCTTCATAAATGCCTCAATCGTTGAGAGAACAATGCCAGCTCCACCAAGTTAGATATTTAGTTATTGAAAAGGTGACTCAGTCTGTTAAGAGGCACTATAAATTGTAAGTCTCACCAATACTTAGGAGGTATCTTGCACATCTGCTATCACTCTCATCTCTTTCTTATAGTTTGTACCTCCATTGCTTTCTCCTAATCTCTTTACACTCCTTGAAGTAATAAAACATCAGGTCATCCTAACCCTTCATAGTAGAGTAGGTCATGTTAACCGAATCATTCTATATCTTTATCTTGCTTGTGTTACTCTCCTTTTTACTTAATTACTGCATTAATTATTAATTACTTGGCAGGTGGTGCAAAAAATCAATTTATGCATCATCAGTTTGACATAGTCAAGGGGAACGACAAAGTTTTCACTTAACCATTCTATTTTGTATCTATGACAATCACCACTAGATCCATGAATCAACTTGAGGATAATCCACTACGTGAAGAAGAGGCTACCCCTCCGCCAGTCAATCATCTTCCAAACTTCAACAGATGGTAGAAACAATGCAACAGCTAGTAACCCAGAATCAATAGATCTTGCAATTGATGCTTACTAGACAAGGAGGCGTGTATCCGGGAGAGTCTCAAGCTAGGGGAGCTCCTTGCCAAAGGCACTAAGGAGGTCCCCTGTTGGGCGCTCCCTTAGGAGTCCCCTTATCATCACCACAGAGCAGCTCTTCCTACAGCTCCCATTTCCCATGTTGGAGGCCTTCCTTTCTAGAAGGATGAAGGAGAAAATCAAAGTGTGGACCATATGAGCTACTTTCATGACCCATCCAAAGGAGTCCCTAATCATTGAGATGAGAAAATCAAGTACAGAATAAATTGGGTGATGTCTTCAACGCCATGAAGGCTCAAGGACCAAAAACTGTTGAGTACCTCCTAAGGCGCACTGACACGCCTTTCGTATCCTATGTGGCAAATTATCCATTTCCCTAGAAATTCAGAATGTCATCGGTGGAAGCATTTGATGACACAAAAAAACCCATTGGATCACCTTGATACCTATAAGCCTTTAATGCAACTACACAATGTTCTTGATGAAATCATGAGCAGAGTCTTCCCAACTACCTTGAAGAGATTTGCCCGACAGTGGTTCGCCAGGCTCACCCCGGCCTCTATAGGCTCCTTCGCCGAACTAAGCAGATCTTTTGTGTCATATTTCAATGGTGAACGCTGCCACTAGAAGCCTATCACATATCTACTCAACATAAAATAGGATCGAGATAAGAGTCCGAGGGGTTACCTTTGTCATTTTAACGAAGAGGTCCTCCAAATCAAGGATCCCAATGACAAAAGTCACCATGACCGCCTATCGAGTTGCCTTTTTTTAGTAATAAAACGACCACCAAAGAGCATTCCAAAACTATTAGCAAAAGTTCAAAAATATACGAATATAGAGGACATCACTAGGTCCAAGCGAGGTGAATCCTCTCGCGGGTAGCAAAAGTTTGGTCTATCTCTACTTTGCTTTCAAATGGGTAGCCTATGTCTCCAGCTTAGCAGCTTTCTCGTGGGTCGCCAAAAGTTTGACCTATCTCTTCTCTACTTTCTAGCAGGTAGCCTATGTCTCCAGCTTAGCAGCTCTCTCGTGGGTCGCCAATAATTTGACCTATCTCTTCTCTACTTTCTAGCAGGTAGCCTATGTCTCCAGCTTAGCAACTCTCTCATGGGTCGCCAAAAATTTGACCTATCTCTGCTCTGCTCTCAAACATGTAGCCTATATCTTCAACTTAGCAGCTTTCTCGTAGGTCACCAAAAGCTTGGCCTATCTCTGCTTTACTCTTAAGTAGGTAGCCTATGTCTCCAGCTTAGCGACTTTCTTACGGGTTGCCAAAAGCTTGGTCTGAAGAGGTGCAACTCTCTCACGAGCAACCCTCAAACTTTGTATTTACTCTCACGCAAACAACCTCTATTTCTTATATCTCAATATGCTTGCCTCTCTCTCTAGGTAATCATGTTGAATATTTTGATTTTGGAGTAACATTATTTTTGCCATCTCTAGGCACGCTCTTGAAACTTAGGTCATCTGCAACTCAATGGACTACATTAGACTGAATGTCAACAATCGGGCCTCATTCTTTATGTGGCCATATGGCACTGCCGCCTCGTTGTCGCAGCACTCCCGCGCTTAATACCTAGCGTAAACAAAGCCTGCGTGCTCCCAACAATAAGGATTTGAAACCTACTCCTAGGTACTAGCTCTTCTGTCTTGGCACCCAATCTCATGGCGCCCAACCTCCTAGCGCCCCCTCGTGATGCCTAACTCTCAACGTCCCTTCCTCTTGCACCTGCACAGCTGTATACCGAGCATTCACCGCTGTCACTCCTGGCTCGTTCGTCGACGCCCCCTCAGTGCACAGCGTCAATACGCTAGGCCATCCGCGCCCAACGAGGCCGCCACTAGCGCGTTCGCCCATCTGTGCCCAACAGTGCCGTCCCTGGCGCGCTTGCTCCTCCCCGAATGGCACCTATCGCGGTGTGCTTGCCATCCCAAGGCACATTGCTGACGCCCGCCTGGGCCATTGCCTCGTCGACACTCGCTAACTCGTCGACGCCTTCTTGCGCGCCAGCTTCGACGCTGATTGCTCCGTCATTGCCTACATCCTCTCCGATTTCAATGGCATCTTGCATCTCCCCCTCCTTCATCTGACAGCGATATCTGGTCACCTAGCTCATGGGTAAGCTCCCTTGCCTCACTCAACTTACTACCACTCATGGTCATCTCACTAGAAGTTCTTTCTCAAGGGTGAATAGAATGAAAAGAAAGGGAAAAACCCCTATTTATAGCCTAGGATTTTTAAAAATCCTAGCCAGTGATGGAATGGGGTAGACTTTTCGCAACAAGGAATGTCTTATGGGAAAGAACCATATCAAGAAGGAAAATAGGTCATCAGTCAAAAGGAGTCTTCATCAACCAGAGTCCAAATCCAGCTAAATGCCTTCTTCTCCAAGTTTTATTAGACTTGGGGCATTGGGGGACAAATGATGAGCCTAGACCAAGACCCAACTCAGGTTATGGGGCCAACTTGAATAAAGGATCCACCTATGCGAAACCCAATGGGTCCAACCAAAAAGAGATTCACTCCTAGTTAGGCTCATCAAGTCTCCAAGAGCCACATTATCATGGAGTGGGCAGCGCCATCTCAAGAGCCTCATCCACTCCACCTTGGAGTAAGGAGCAAGGAAGTCAACCACGCCATCCTAAGACCTAGTCTTGAGGAAAGTCCCGCAACGACCTCATCCGTTGTGAAGATGATGTCACATCCACCAAATTAGCTTTTTTGTTACTGATAAGCCGCCTTAATCTATTAGTAGACGAATATAAAATGTAAGTTCTACCTACACATAGGGGCATTTCACACAAGGGATCACATATGATATCACTCTCATATCTCTCACATCTTGTACCTCACATGAGCTCTCATTGCTCTCACTTGATCTCCTTAGACTCCTATAGCAATAAAACACCTAGGCCATCTTAGCCCTTCACAGTGGAGTAACTCACATTGACCAAACCACTTAAATTATTTGTTGCTTGAATTTCTCTCTCTATTTTATTATCTGCATTAATTACTTGATAGGTGGTGTGCAAAATCAATTTGTGCATCATTAGATACTATAGTCAAACCCTTGATTCAATTATCGCAACTTGGTCATGAAAATATGTGACATTGTTTTAAAATGGGAAATCTTTGATTCGAGTTGCCATTTTTTGTTTCTTTTCATTGTAAGAGGAAGTGAGATAAACTTTAATATAAACTACATGCATTAAAGTGTGACTCATTAGAGCATCTCTAGTCCTTACCTTTTTTTAGACCCAAATTTAAATTAGGGTAAAAAGACGCCAAAAACCTTCTCCAGTCCTATACCTAAACCTATATCTATATATAATATAAAACACGACAGACTTCAATAAGTCTATATGACAGTCTCAAATAGACTTATTCAACGGCTACCAACATTTCTCTTAAAACCATTCACATTACACTGCGTCTTCAGGAATGGGTTACCCCTAGTATCAAATAAAGGGATACACTATTCTAAACTTAAAATCTAGACCTAAAAATCTAACGATAAAAAATATGTTCTCTCTCTTCTTTCTACACAATAACTCTGTGTTCACCTTCACAGGTGGACCTCTCGCTCTCTCATTTCTCTTGTCACACACGCAATATATATAGGACTCTATATATACATCTTCATAGGAATCTATATATACATTTGTCGTGTATTGAAAGAGTTATCAGGATAACATAAGAATTTTTTAAAAAGATTTGAGTACAAAAAAGGGTTTGTCTATTGGAGAAGTCTATGGCAAATTAATTTTTTTACGATTTTTTTAGAGCAATGCTATTTAGACTTAAAATGCTGACTTGATTTGTTGATCAATCACTGTTATTAATTTAACTGTAAATTTTAATATTTATTGGAACCTACACTACACATTCAACGGTTATTCTTAATAGAGTCAACAAATTAAGTTAAAATTTTAAATCCAAATAATATTTTCCTTTTTTTTTTAACCCAAATTTGAGTAAGGACCGAAGATGGCCTTACATACAAGTAGGTCTCTTATTAATTAATGGTGAATGATACATAAAGACAGAAATTTAAGAAAAAATGTATTAAAAAGGATGTGACCCCGATAAGTGTAGTTGTTAATTATGCAAATGCCATCAAGTTCTTGTCGTAAAGCTGTGAATATTACAATGACAGAGAGGAAAAAAAGAAGTTTGAATAGTTTCCCATTCCAGGTTATTGTTACCAAAACTCTAAACAATATTCTGTAAATATGAAATCTGTAAATCCGTAATATGCAGTTGAAGAAGAGTCTGGATTTTTAATTGTCTTCAGGAACTCTTGGTCTGTATAGTTTCACCAATCGCTGGTTTATTTGCTGTATCGGTCTTGAATTGGTTTCTGATTCCTGCGGGAAAAAAAAAAGGTTGCTAAACAGAAAATAGAGAGGATTCAATGTATGTAATGTTGTCTTGCCAATGAAATATTATTTCGATGACTAAAACCCGTGGAACCAAAGTTACAATAAAATAATTGTACTGCTGTACCAAATTCCGTCCTTAGATATTTAATCCCAAGATTGTACAGGTGTCAATTAAGTTGTATTGTGAGTAATCGTGTCGAATTGTGTCAAGTATTGATCAATTCTAATCTGACTTATTTATGTACTATTAGGGGTGACAATTTTTCACACAATACAAAAACACAACTCAAAATCGCTACGAATTAGTGGGTTAGAGTTGATCATTTCTCAACACGAACCCGTAAATAATACAACTCATTAACACGAATAATAATTGGGTCAGTTAAGTGTCAAATGCAAACAACATGAAATTAACACGATTAACTAGTATTATAAGAATAAAATGTCAATTATTTATTATTGTTTATCAAATATTGACATAATTATTGTACAAAAAAGACATTTTTAGTCATTTTTATTGTTATATTTATTAAGTTATTTTTTTGTTTATAGACAAAAATATGACCATATATTCAATTAAGAGATAATAAAATTTTAAAGTTAAATTCTTTCTTCACAACTTATATAGGTCAACACGAACACGACACGAAAATAAACAGGTCAGGTTGTCACGACACGATTAATTAAATGGATTAAGTTAAGATTGACTAATAATCCGCAATAATACGACACAATTACAACACGACACAACACGAATCTTAACCCAATGGACTATCATGTCGTGTTTGGGTTAATTTATATATAGCAAAAATCTTAAGACTAATTAAGTTCCACTATCCTCTCTCTTAGCCACATGATCTCCTTCCTATATGCTCTTTATAAAATAAAAAATCCATGGACTCAAATGCTAGCAAAATCATATAAAGATTATTTAATTCTTCAATGACTCCTACAACACGAGATCAAAAAATAAAAAAATAAAAATTTATACCTTTTTCTTAAGAGAATACTCATTGAACAAGTTTATCGTGTCAAAATCAAATTATTATTTTTCTAACACTAAATTGATCAGTTTATTCTTTGTATTAATGAGTTGTGTCATTTTTGGATTTAAGTCTAAAACTAGTCAATTCTTAGCCCAATAATTTTTTATCGAGTTGTATTAAAATATCTCCATTGTACTGCCATCATCGAGCTTAATTTACTATATAATTAGGACACAAAATTGTCAAAATTAAGAATTAGTCAAACATAGATCTAAAATATTGTCTCTATGCACATATTTGGATTAGGGTAATTGTTTTCAGTTATAACTTACATCATGAACAGCTTCACGAATTAGTGCCACTTGTTCTCTCGTGACGGTTCTGACCTGAAGGATTTCAAAAAAGCCATTTAGAAAAGGGATTTTTGTAAAATACTAATAAGAATTGACAATAACGTAGGTTACAGTAGAGAGTAATACCTTTCTAAGGATGGTCCAAACAACATTTTGAGTGCAAGGAGGGACTGTAAGAGAGCCAATGTACCTATAATACTTTCTACTTCCCATCTTTATCAACTTTGGGTCAACTGTACCCACCACTGTCACTTCTCCTCTGGTATCAGCTATGGCTTCTAATTTATCCTTCAGCTAATAATTAACACAAATAAAACAATATGCATTTACCCAATCGTTTCCTAAAATGTGCATGATGTGTTTGATAAGTGTAAGTAAGTTTTGAACATTGGTAAGTATAAGTTTTTTTTTTTTGACATGCAACGGAAATTCATTCATTAGCAAAAAATAGCAATATCATCTTGCAAGATGAGTACTAAAAATGATAAGCGTAAGTTTTGGGCATTTCTTGTATCTGACCCATTCCGTAATATTTCGACCTTACCCTACTTGGTAATTTGGCTTTTGCATTTTTTCGGCCGGCTAATGGAAGGTTTTTTTAGTATTATATAAATATCAAGTAGAAATGCGGAATACCCACAAAATTTGTGCATTCCTACCCTACTCTCATGTATATATATATATTTTTAAATAATGTGTGTTATAAAATGACGTTTTTATTTGTCATAAAATATTGTCGTTTAAGAACCATATAACTTGTGATTGTGTTTTATTTATGGTGTTTTAAACTATTAGAAAATATATTAATCAAATTTATTGTGTTTTCTTTAATTTTTTTAGTTTATTGTAAAAGTAGCTTAAAAATTTCGTAATTGAATTGTTAAAATGATCAAAAGATTAATAACTTAAAGTTTAAAAATTTGTAAGACATTCCGCATACTTACCCAACTTTCCGAACTGATTTTTGGATGGAATTTAGCTAGAACATTACCTTCAATTGTGTAGGGTCGGTCAAAAAAATAATCTTCCACAACTCATCGACTTGAAGCATGAAATCTAAAAATTCCTACCCGTCTACTTAAGTGAACAATCCTAATCATCTGGGTCAAACGTGTTCCACACAAGGACATGCAATCTAAAGGGGGTGATTGTAACAACCCAAATTCACATCACAACATTCGTTAATGTACGTGTGAAGTGTTTGATAAGTATGAATTTTAAATCTTCATTCTACATTGTTAGAGTCATTAAAATGCAGACGGACAGAGAGAGATAGAGAGGGAGGGAGAGAGAGGAAAGGAAATAGTTTCAAGGACTGAACAATGATATATGAATTTAAAAAATAAAAAAATTTTGAGGATTACCATTGATAAAAAAGAATCAGACCGTCCAATCTTGTACATGATTCCAAACACAGCAGTCTTTTCATCTTCGCTCTCATGAACCAGGTGTACTTCTAGAGCAAACCTGTACATTTTATTATTGCTATTGTCATAACTATTTGAGACACAAAAACAAATTTATCTTTTTTGATGAACTTTGGCAAGATAGAAAGTACATAAATTTTAAAAAAGAAAATTAATCGAGGTACGTGAAAATTGATGCTAATAACCCTGACCATTAAACCAAAAAAAAGAAAAGCAAGAGAAAGTAGCAATATTGATAATGCACAAAACAAACTTATGTAAAATCAACAGTCGAATGTATAATAAAAGTATAATTAATGAATAATTATCTTGAGCAATCAATGACAATAATGTAAATATTAAGTCAACACACAAATATATAATAATTTAGTCTAGGTAATCTATTCCACTTCAGAAAAGGGGACCTTTATTAATAAAGTAAGGTGAACAAGAGAGATGGTTAATTCTGGGAGGGATACAATAGTTATGAGAGAAAAAATGTTATGTGTAGGGTGTGTAGAGATAGATCTAGAGGTGCCCTCTCATGTAAAAAGAACTTAAAATATATAGGTACAAAGCCTTTGTTAAGGCGGTGATATGAGGGCAAATATACTAATTTTTCGCGCAGCTACAAAAGGTAAGTGATATAAGAGGTTGTCTTGATCTTTAAGAGTGAATATTTCGATAATTACTCTTCAAGGTTAGTGCTATAAGAGGTTGTCCTGATCTTTAGAAGTGAGTATCCCAATAATTACTTCTCACGTGCTTTAATTATTCTTGAATTCCTTGGATCTTGGGTTGGGTCGAATTTACAAACTAGACTTGACCTGCCTTTTAACTGATTTGAATTTACCTGATTAATTAGGTCTGACCTAATGAAATCGGGGCTTATCAAATATCAACCACGAGACTATAGGAGAGTCCAAAAGCCGATCAACTCAAGCCCACACACTGCCTTCAAACTGGAACACTCTTGTCACAACGATGTGGAATTTTTCATCTTTTTTGTAAAAAGATATATAGTATACAACTTTTAACTACTACTTTCAATATCAAAGATAAATTGCAGGAGAGTCGAGATGACCAATAAACCCCAAGTCCACCCATAACCTACAAACTGGTTTATCTTTAGAGGAGTGGATTGCGATTTATAAACTAGTTGGAATACTCTTACCACAACGATGTGGGATTTTGCATATATTTTTTATTAATTCACGCATAACAGGAAGGTATATTATTTTTAACAATGTCACTCAATATCAAAGATCAATCAAAGGAGGGCCCAGATGATAAGAAATTTTTCATTGGGTTTAATACGCTATACAATAGTGTCATGTGATGTACATTACTAATAAAAACTTGTGCATGTCCAATGAATATCTGACACTTACCTACCTGTCGGTTTTTTTTTTTTAAAAAAAAAATCAACTTGTGTGTACCATAAGGTGCTTTTGCGGTAACTTTTCATTGGGGGTGCACATTAGGTGTCATGGTAAGTAGTACCCACTGAAAATTTTCTCCCAAAAGGCCTATAAAAATCTCAAATCCCCACACTACCTACAAACTGGCCTAACATTTGGAGGACTAGGCTGAGATTTATTAAGTAGCTACAACAATGTTGTCACAAATTTCACATTTTTTTTTGATAAACTCACACAAGATAGAAGACGCATGAATTTTTATTTTTTTTTGGGTTCAATGGTAGGGGTATCCGCTTTAGTTTACGCGCACCTCGATTAATCTTCTCTCCGAACCAGTCAAAGGCAAACCATCCACGATTTTTAACCAACATCAACAACAAAACAATCCAAAAGGACAATAAAATACACACTTATATGTATATTATGTATATATGCATGTATGAGTATAGATGTAACAGAAAGAGGGTATCACCTTCTACCATTGATTGTGTGTTCAGAAGGTGAGTGCCAATGACATTGTTTGAGTTGATACTGCGTTCCATTGATGTAAATATGCCCTCCACCACTTTCCCATCCCAGCTGCCAATATAAACAAGTTATCAAAAAAAAAAGACTTTTGTTATTACAAGGTCCGAATAGAGTTAGATATACGCAGTCTTATCTCTACAATTAAAGAGTCCGTTTTCGCAACTCAGGACCGTGACAATTTATCTATCTCGTGGAAATAATGGAAACTTGGAAGGTAATTGGACCCCTGGGTAGTCATAATGCCTATTGGAAATGTAAGTACAGAATTTATTACATTGTTTTTTTTTTTATCGAATTTATTACATTGTTCACTGGTAAACTATTACATTGTTCAAACCTTTAAAGTCCATCAGCTTTAGTGGTAAAATCTTTCTACCATCACAGACTCATGGACCTGTGGTCAGGGTGGACCCAAGAATATCTCTGAAGGGGGTAAAATATAATTGAAAAATAATTTAATGATTGATACAAAAAAATTAAGTACAAAAATAATAAAAAATTATGATTTAAGACAAAATTATTGCAAAATAGTAAATTCAATTTTTATTTAAGCGAACAAAATCATCTGAACAAAAAGATATAAAATAAATTTTTTAGTACATTTTAACCCTGTTATATAATTCAATAAACTATAATGTTCTTTAAAATCTCTAAAATTTTGTATATCAATTAAATTTAAATTATTTTTTCACTAATTTTTTTATTAATGCACCCAATCAACACTCTATAATAAATCATTCTTCATTTAGTAACAAAACTTAGTTAAGATCATTATCAATCTTATAGATGAATTTCCAACTCAAAATAGTTTAAAATATTTTTGAATTACAACCTTTTGTCTTTTATATAAAATTATATTTTATTAGATTATAGACTATTATTACTAAAAAAAATGGTAAATAAAAAATAAAAATTGTTTTTTAAAAAATAACGAATATTGTGTTAGATAAAGTTAAATATTGTCTTTTGGTCAATCTAATATAAAACAGGGCAGACTTCAGTAAGTTCATCTGACGGTCTCAAATATACTCATCCAACAACCACTAATACCTCTTTTAAATTTTTATCGTGTCTTCAAGTACGGGTTTCCCCTAATATGCAAATAGATCAAGATAATTACATATGAAAAAATAGACCACTAATTTATTGAAAAAATAAAAAATTAGAACTATTTTTAAAATTTTTAAAAATTTAGAGAAGGTCATATATAGTGTATTAAACAATTTTAAGGAACCTCATCAAAGATTGTCCAAAAGTGATAGGGGAGGGGCAGGGGGGGTGCCCACCATGGTTCCATGTGGCGCCGCCCCTGGCCATGGTTGGTATGGCTATGGTTGGTAAGACTAGTGATATCAATAAAGGTGTTTGGACTTAGTTTATTCATTGACAGGACCAATTCACTATTGTAACCCACTAAACTAAGATGACAATTCTTTTTATTTTAAACCACTTTTTTGTTTTATTTTACAGGGAAAGAGAAGGCGAGATTCGAACCCGCGATTTACGGCGGGTCGTGGTGATCATTAAATTAACCGTTAAAATATCAATTTTATACAAGATCCTATCCTAGGACTCAAAACCAAATCAATATATAGTCAATGATTTTGGGTTTAGACTAATAAATTTATGGAATAGTTAGAACAACTTAATAAGTGGGTTTGCATAAATTTGACTAAACATGATGTATGCACAAAAAAGACCTAAGATGACTCGACTACCGCTCTATGTGACTATAAATGGGACGGCTATGGGTTGAAAAAATTGTGCAAGACATGATTTTCATTGTTTAGATATATGGTAAAATAATATATACTCACTGATGATCTAAAAACCCGCTGATAATCTAATAACAACAATAGATTAAATCATATCAATAAATTAGATGCAAACAACATTACTGGAGCTAATTTGGCTCCTCCACCACTCCAACTACTACCATCCAATTCAGATTAAAGAATGAGCAATGGTTCCAAGAAAAAGAATAACTAGTTGAACCACCACAATGGATACAGGAAAGTTGGATTGGAAGGGGGCTTGCATTAGAGATGGGACTATTCCAAGAACATAAGATATAGCTTTTTGTTCTCTCCTTACCATTATGTCATGGCCTCTATTTATAAGAGTTGCATTAGAGGGTTTGTAATCCCTCTTCAGTCTCCCCAAGTAAGAAACAATTTCAACTCTCTCATTCGACAGATCAATAGGAGACTGCATGGTTCCATTGCTGCACAAACTCCATTCCGGATGAATCTCTCCCCAACGTTCCGGTCCATTCTCACTGCCGCGTTTATAACTGAACTCGATCTCATTCTCTGCATCGCCAAGAACACCAAAATGAAGAGGAAGAAAGGGCAAAAAAGAAGAAGAATGCTATGGACAGCTGTTCACTAGATATTTTTTTTATGATAACTAACAAGCATTTCAACCACATATTCTTTTATACTTGTGCCCGTTACATAAACTAGGGATGTGCATAATTATTCGCATAATCACATACTTTAAAATAGTCAAAATAGTTCTGACTAGACTCAAACTTGAGAGCCCAAAATACCTTGACGGGTTAGCTATTCACAGGCTAATCCTCGAACGAGGGGAAGAAAAAAAAAAGCAACAATCTTCTTACAGTTTGAAACCACTTACCAACTTCTTGGCATGTTGATGGGCATGTAACTGAAAGCAAAAGGACAAGAGAGAAGAAACTGCAAAACATGGTTTGCCTTGTTAGCTTCTCCATGTTTTGAATTGTGTAGTGATGGAGGAGAGGTTGGGCTGCTTATATATAATAGAATAAGACAGTAATAATGTGAATGCCCAAAATTGTATTTAATTGAATTCAAATAGTAATAGAGCATCGAAAAAATTGACAGCCAATAAGCTCTTAGTCTAACATGAGGAAGAAGACCAGGGGGTCTTTCGATGTGATCCATTTTCTTGTTTCTTTAGAAACTGTGCTAAGCACCTACCTTTGGTTGAAAATGAGAGGGGTCTAAATCTTATGTCAGTAGCAATGGATTGATTTTTGACAAACAAATAGTAGAAGAACCACGTTGTAATATTTTTGATATATTAAGGGTATAGTATGAAAAATTTAATATTTGAGGGTACAAAATAAAAATTTTAAAATCTTTCAGGATACAAAATACCAAATTTAAAATACAAAAAACCCTTGAAAAAATTAATGTAATTGTCTGAGCTAATAATATGTCAAATAATTAATATGATCTTAATAAAGAAGTATAACATTTGAACTTCCAATAATATTATTAGACTATCTAATTGTTATATCATTAAGTAATTGAATTATTTTAGATATTAGATCTCAATAACACTATTCTATCGCATTTACGTGGAGTTGGTAGACAACTATTGGCAGATATTGTTTGTTTTTTCATACGAGGGGCCATTGGCCATTTCGTTATTTTCATGAAAAATTGTCTTTTTCTACTTAAACACGTGTCTGTGATTTGTACATCGTTGTCGTTGATTCTCACAAATGAAATAATTTCTGTGAAATTGATGTTTTGGGACTAAATTAATATAATTAAAATTTCAGAGACTATTTTAAAATTAGAGGTAAAGTCTAAGGACTAATAATGATATTTACCCATTAAATAATTTTAGAAACAAACCCACATCATTTTGCATCTTAGGGTCCTCAAATATAAATTATTGCAACCTATTAAAATATTTCATGTGGTTAACTAATATATTCGTAAGAAACACGGCATCTGCATAATTATTCGTATACCATATGCATCAAAACAGTCAAAATAGTTCTGATGAGACTCAAACTTGAGAGCCTGATATATGCTAACGGGTAGCTATTCACAGGCTAAATCCTCCAACAACGAGAAAAAAAAAAAAAGGACAAGAGAGAAGAAACTGCAAAACATGGTTTGCCTTGTTAGCTTCTCCATGTTTTGAATTTAATTGTATTTAATTGAATTTAAATACTAATAGAGCATCGAAAAAATCGACAGCCAATAAGCTTCTAGTCTAAAAAGAGGAAGAAGACCAGGGGGTCTTTCGATGTGATCCATTTTCTTGTTTCTTTTTGAAAATGTGGTAAGGACTGTCTGGTTCATTACACATTGTTGGTGACGAACCTACCTTTGGTTGAAAATGAGAGGGGTCTCAATTTTGTTTTTAGCTGATAGAATAACCATTTGAATAATGATATCTAGATTTAAAACAGAACGAATTGCGTTTTACATTTCGAAAGATTTCAAAATTTTAATTTTATATCATCAAAGATTAAATTTATCACATTACACCCTTAATGTATCAAAATTGTTGTAATGTGACTATTTTGTTAGCTTTTTCTTAACTTTTTGTCAGTGCCAATGAGTTGATTTTTGATAAAAAAAAATAACAGAAGTTAATAGAAGAGTTACATTATAATATTTTTGATATATTGAGGGTATAATGTAAAAAATTTAATCTTTAACAATATAAAATAAAAATTTAAAATTTTTCAGGGTATAAAATACCAAATACAAAAAACACTTGAAAAAATTAACATAATTGTCCGATCTAATAATATGTCAAATAATTAATATGATCTTAACAAAGATGTATAACATTTGAAATTCCAATAATATTATTAGACTATCTAATTTTTATATCATTAAGTAATTGAATTATTTTAGATACCAATAACACTATTCTATCGCATTTATGTGGAGTTGGTAGACAGCCACCGGTAGATATTGTTTGTTTTTTCATACGGTGGGCCATTGGCCATTTCATTATTTTGATGAAAAATGTCTTTTTCTGCTTAAACACATGTATGTTATTTGTACATCGTTGTCGTTGATTCTCACGAATGAAATAATTTATGTGAAATGGATGTTTTGGGACTAAATTAATATAATTAAAAATTTAGAGACTATTTTAAAATTAGAGGTAAAGTCTAAGGACTAATTATGATATTTACCCATTAAATAATTTAAGAAACAAACCCATAGCATTTTGCAGCTTAGGGTCCTCAAATAAAAATTATTGCAACCTATTAAAATATTTGTAAGAAACAGAACCCCACACTTTTTGTAAAATTATGGAGAGTCTCACTATATCAATGAAGGAGACATTAATGCTGTAAGTTTGTAATAACTGAGTTAAATATTAAAAATGTTTGAATTTTAGCAATTTTTTGTAGGTCGGGTTATGAGGGATTTCTCATGAATACCCTAATTTTGACGTAAATAGTCTATCTTTGATTGGATCGGAGAGAGAATTAGTCGAAGTGCGCGTAAATTGGTTCGACACTCCTTACCATTGAAAAAAATAAAATAAAATAAATTTAAACTTTTAGCCACTTTTATTTGTGTTGAGCCACCACAGTTTTTTAGTATACTTGAATATTGATTAATATTAACTGCTTAATAGAGTATAATATTTTTTGGATATTTCATCTGGAATATTTGCCACACGGAAAAAAAAGGATTAAAAAGATTGAGGTTTAGAAATTAAAAAAAAATAATATTTAGACATAAACATTTATTGAACTTATGTGCAAAACTAATGCATCACAATTCCGAATTAGTAACGGTCCTAATTAATACCAGAGTCTATTGTCAATCTAATAATATTAATTTTTTAGGTTAATAAATTAAGTCTAAATAGTACTGCTCTTAGAAATAAGGATGAACGTAATGACTTTCAAGAAACAATTATTATTTTTTTTATTTTTGTTGATTTATCGATTAGGAATATCCAAGGAAGTTTAAGTATACTGCCATGAATCAAAATTTTCTTGCCATTTTTCAAAGTCAATTTTCTTGGGAAAGATTGTTATCTATTTTGTCATTTTTTTTTCTGTTCTTTTTTGACTGACAAGTTGAATTTTATTGATGGAAAGACGACTTCAAAACCACAAAGCAATGTGAAACATTTCACTACAAGATAGTTTTATAACTACGAGGTCGAGAAAGAGTTAAAATATAAGAGGGATGTGACACGAATTTAAAAAGCAGACTTAAAAATTATGTTTAATAATCTCAATCATTGAATAGGTAGTGGGTCTCAATAAATACTGAACCTACAGTGAAATCAATGGTTAAGATTATGAAGTCTAATTTTTAAATTTATATAGTATTGCTCAAAATATAATGTAGCTTCATCTTCCTATGTGAAAAAATTATTTCTATGACTTAATCTTGTTCAAATTATAATTGAACAATTTTACTATTACACCGAAGCTCAATCTAAAAGAAACCCACCACCTAATGAATTTAACATCATCTGACATAGACGATCAATTGAATAAACAAAAAAAATCATTGATTCAAATAGAATTTTTAGTATAATTTCTATCCAATGAGTTCCCTAATCAATTAACAATCAACCATCGATCGACTCTTTTATTATGATTAACCGATAATTGAGATAGAGTGCGTGAAAATATCGTTAAATAAAATAGATTCTATTGAGATTAATTGTTAATTTGTCTCATTCTACGATTAATCTTAGAAAATTAGGTCGATTGAAATAAATTATACAATTCAAGGAGAAAATTTAGAACGTGAATGTCAAATGAATAAACGTGAAATTATAAGAAATCATCGCGTCAACGACACATAATTTAGTCCTTGGTTTTTTTGGCGGATTTCTTAACCAATTTAATATTATCCCTAGACATATGTTATGTATAAACACCCCTGACCCTTAAACCCCCGATGAAATTTCATTTGAAAAAATATTAGGTATGTCGAGGTAAGTGAATCGTGCGACCATCACCTTCTTCTTAAAATAAAATGTCGCATATATATAAATTGCAGTTTCTAAGTATTTGTTAATGGAGTCTAGTCTTGCATCACACATGGTTGAATTAATATAATGTAAATGTAACTGTGACATAAGTATTGTTAACGACTGGCTGGTCCAATACGTTAGGAAGAAACTTATAGGCAGTCATATACACATACATTTACTAATGGGTTCTATAATCATGTATATATTATTTGATTTCATTGAAGAAAAGCGTATTATACGGGATTTGATTAAACAATAATTAATTACCATATCACAACCCGCTCTCCAGCGATGGTATTCTTCATTTTAGGTCCAATGATGGCAAATTCTAGTCAATGGATGAATAAAGAAGTGGAAGAACACATCAATCGTCCTGTCCATTTCGATTGGTTTTCAAACATAAGAGGCAGCTATTGCGAGATGTGCTAGGTTAGCGTGCGGGGGAAGGCTACTTTTGATCTTATTGTAATGAATAAACTTCAAAAACAACGAAAGAATAGATACATTTTGAAGATAAGTGGCTAGTATGGAGAGTTACACTAGGTTTAAGGGATAATGAGCCACTTGTTAGAGCGTGAGAGAAGACAACTGACCATCTAGCGGATTTGAATTATTATCATATCAGCCATTCTAGGATCATAAACGTAGGCAAGTTGTCAAATCGCATAAATTTTTGTGTTTTTTTTTTCTATTATTCTGTTTTATTAATTGTTCATCGCACACACAAATCACAAGAGCAGGGAATGTTTGGCATAATAAGGGCTTGCAACCCTCCAAAGCAGAATATGGTGGTAGAGAAGAACATGGGAAGACTGTTGTTCCTATCATATTTTAAGGGCCCGTGTGTGTTGTCCAAAGCTAATCTTAAAGTCAGTGTCTAAGTGAGCGTGAAAGAGATAATATTTTGGTAGATTAGGATGAGTTTGGGCAATTCTCTTTCAAGATTGCTTCATCTTAATTACTCTCTATAATTTTTAGCTTAATGATACCAAAAATAATAGCGTCAAATAATCAGAGAAACATTCCAACAGTATCATCGCCAAAGAGTCCAAGAATAAAGGTCTTAGAGCAATTTTAACTCTTACCTTTTTTCTAAATTTAAATTTAAATTTGGGTATTCCTAAAAAATTCTCCAACACTAGACTCATACTCATATCCAATCAAAAAAAAATTCATTTTTTTACTTATATTAAGAAATACTCAAATCCATATCCAAATTTTTAATAGTGAGAATTTTTCTTCTTTTAGAGACTCAATGATTATATTTTACTCTCTTTTAAATTTGGATTAGTTCTCATTTAAATTTGAATTTCTCTTCTTTTAAATTTGAGTTTTCTAATTAAAAAGGTTTATACCAAATCAAACTTTTTACCATTTTTTTTATTCAAATTTAGGTAAATGTATGATTCTCCATTAGAGAATGTCTTACACATGATATCATGTAGGCGAGGCCTCTTCCAACCAAGCTCTAGGCCAAGATTTCCCAAGTCAGGTTAGGATATGGGAGCGAATTCGTCCTCAAAGAAAGAATTAGCTCATCCCACTAGCATAACTTCTCACATGGGCAAAGAACCTCGCCATATCCAGGCATGAGTCAACAAATTAAATACCATCCCACCAAATTCTAGAATGTCACGTCATACTTAGGGAATATAGCATTCAATGGTCAAATATTCATCTAATAAATCCTAACACCTTAGGGACCATGTAATGATTACGTGAGGACCACCCTAACGAGAGTATAAATACAAAGGCAATCCCTCACGCAAAAGAGAGTAAAAAATTCTATCGTAATCTCTAATATTGTAACTGCCTCCTTGTCACCCAAATAATAGAAAATTCCAAGGAGCGAAAGACTCTATTAGAGTAAAATAGTCAAACTTCATAACTAGTGAACCACTATAATTTATGCGTTCTCATTATATCCTTAGCTCTTGCCTTCACTAGTCACTTTACTGTCGCAAATTCTAGAGCCATTAGGCTCAATTGCAGAAAGATTTCACATACCCACACTGTTCATTTACGGTTTACTATTCTTAAACCTTACGCTCCTCAGCCTAAGCATTAAACTCGCGTTTTGAATTCACACACCATCAAAGGTTTTATGTAACATTAATTTTGTTTGTATCTAATTTAAGAATTAATACATTAATGACTTTTGGATTGACACCGAATTTTGTTAAATGTTAGAACCCACTGCTAATCTAGTAGCACAATGTATTAGTTCCCCATTTTAAATCCCAATAACATTGATTTTTATGTAAATCTTTGTTTTTGAAAACCGATTGTTTGAGTTGTTCTCGAGAAAGTCAATCAATATATAAAAAATCAGCTGGCTACCAGCCCCTAATGTTACCCACTCCGCCTCATTTATAAGCTAAGAAATCAGTATCCTCAAATCCCATGGCATAAACTTATGTGTTTTGGGCAGTGCATCACAATGAGTTTTATAGTCTGCTTTGCCATAGATTGCCTACAAAGGACAGGGTCAAGAATTATGCAAAGAACTTGGGAATGGCATGTGTTTTATGAGAGAGAGAGTTTTAGAAATGACTACAATAGCATTCAGCAGGTAATTATGATCACTACACTAAGAAGCACATTAAAGTCCTTGGAAGTCAAGGATAATGCAAGACAGCTAGCTCATTCATGACAACTATCCAACTCTTGCTTTTGTACATGATGTAGATTCTTTGCTTCCAAACAACATTATTTTTGTAGCAAATTTGTGGGGTTACTGGCGATATACAAGCAGTACCCTCTCCTGATTTCTTTTGTCTGTCTTGGTAGTACTTCTCTGAAGACAAAGGTTTCGTCTCGACACTCGTATATATGCTGTAGTTCATGGAGAGCTCTATACATTTGGTTTATTTACTCCCCCACCCCCCCCAAAAAAAAAAAAAAAATCAATTTGAAAGTTGTTTTGATTGTTTTGAAACTTTTGAGTTTGTTTTGTTACATTCCCAAAAAACTTGTTTTCAACCACTCCGAGAATGAAACTTACAAATTTTTCTATCGGATCTGGGATTGTAGGCAAATTAGAAAAGAAAAATAAAGAGAAGAAAAGATTTTGAACATTTGAGACATTTTGCTTCTTGGTTGCAAGCCAATTGACCAAGTAAAAGAATAGTTCCTAGCTTTTTCTATCCCTTTTGGTAGTTATTTAAGTAAAACCATAAAGAAAGTAGGTAAAGTGGCCAAATTGCCACACAGTTTTTCGAGGTACATAGAAACAATGCAACCGACAGAAAGATTATGATCTTGAATATTTACAAAATGCTTTGCCATAAAACAAATAATTTATGTTCCTGTTGGTTGATATTGGAGAAAAATGCTAGCCCAAATCTAAATGATTAAGCATCCCCATAGGCCCATAATAATTAAGAGACTTCCCTCTCTCACCTTAAATTCAACAGCAAGTTATGAAAAACCTTCACTCTAACCATGCTTTGACATCACTAGGTAAGTGTAACAGGTACTCCACTGCGCTTGCTTGATTGACTTTGGTTAAGCTTAATCCATTCATAAGGTGGATTCTAACTATTTATAGTTCGTGTATGGACAAAAAAATTTCCTTCGCCTTCATCATTTTAATCTTTTTTATTAAAATTCACTTAATGGCGCTATATGGGCATCCCACTTTGTCTTGCCTCATTTGGTGGAGACCCCATACCCTAAAACTCTAGAAGAAAATGTGATTACACAGACCCTAGAATGCTTCTATATATGGACAACTCAAACAACTCGTTGATCCCTCAAGAACTTGCGTAGAGCACCCTTCCCGCAGTTTAGATACTCTCTATTTGGGTAAGTACTTCTGTAAGCCTAGTTTCTCGGGTAGAGGAGGTGGTGCCACTTAGCGGTCTCCTTATGATTTTCCCTGGTGCCCTTTGGGGGCGTGTTTTGAAATTTGATGTAATATATTTCTTTGTTTAGAAATAATCTTTTTTTTTCTTACTAGAAAAAGTCAAAATTCTTCGTTGGATGTTCAATAACAACGATAATTGCTTGATTTTTATGACGATAAATCTTGGTTTTTGTTTGATATTTGAATGACAGATGAAACGAAAAGCTTCAAAATGAGGTATCTATTGCTTGCTCTAGTCCTCACGATGATGATGAGCTCTTGTTTGGCAATAAACAGGAAGGCCCTAATGACTGAAATGCATGAACATGAGCAGCGGCAGTTAGTTGAGAACGATGAGGGTGTGGGTTTCGAGTACTCCGGAAGCAGTGTGAACAACCACCATGACATCCCTAGGAAGGACTTCAACAACTTCAGTGGTGGTGCCTCTAAGGGTGGTGATGATACCAGTGGTGGCGAGACCTAATTAGTAAATGCTAGGGTGTTTATCTGTGTAAGGGTTTATGTGTGGATTTGGTATATTGTGTTTTTAACATTGTATTAGCTTGAGTAATCCTGTAGTATGTTGCTGGCTTGGTAATGATACTCTTATGTACTAAAATAAAACCTTTGGTTTTTATTATATGAGTATATATTATCTCTTTGATAAGGGAACATCAATATTTACCCGAAAAAAAAAAAAAAAACCAGAAACATCAACATACTTAAAAGGAAATTTACTGATTAAATCAATTCTAATTGATTGATTCATAGTGAACCCATATATTAGAATTACATATAATACAATGATAGAAGCAGATTTGATCAACATAGTTAATTAGTAAGTGGAGTTCACATAATGTTTTTCAAGATGGAATCCATCTTTGACGTGTCTTCAAAAATAACAAGAAGAACACCACAATCCAATTATTCAATTTTAGATAGAATTGAGAACTTGGCGAAAATCCAAAGCTTTTTTGTTACGACATTTTGGAGGAATTTTTTTGTCAAATAAAAATTTTTAGTTAAAAGAATAAAAAAAAAAAAAAGAGCAAGATATACAACAAAGATTTCAATACCCAACTAAAGGTTACACTGAGCAAGCTCTTGGGAAAGCTGTCCAGCACACACACTATTCATAATGTTTGACCATCCACTGCGAATATGTAAAGTTGCTCCAACTAATATTTCTTCATCTTTATCTGGACCTTTGGACAAAGATAGTCAAAGGTTTAGCTTTATTTGAAAGACTAGCTTTGTACATGGGCTTCTGTCAAGGTTTTATACTTGTAATTGGGGGCTCAGTCCTGGTATTTCTACAGTATCAGAATATCTACAGTTACGGAGATGCAAGCTGTTTGCTGGATTAGAGTTGGTCACAGATTTGAAAGCTTCAGAATTGATAATGGAGTCAGATTCATCTATAGTAGTTTCTTGGATTTATTCTCAGGGTACTGGGTGCTAGGTTTATGCTTATCTGCTTGCTCGCATTCGACTTCTGTGTGCTTCTCTCTCAGCTCGTGTCTACCACGTCCTGCAGGAGGCGAATCAGGCTGTCGACTTTATGGCTAATTGGGCTTGCTCTCAGCAGGTCAATCAGAGATTTTCTGATTCGTCACCCCTTCCTTTTGGGATTGTTGGCATTCTCGTCTTGGATGCTCGACAGATTTCTCACGTTCATCGGTGAATTTTTATTTTCATTTATGTTTTCAGTTAGTTCTGTGGGGAGTCCCCACTTTGTTTTCATGTCTTTGGTGGTGAGTCACCACCTTACTTTTGTTTTGATCCTTCCACTTTGTACTTCTTGAGGTGTCCACCTTCCTTGTACTTTTTTCCTTTTAGTTATATATACAGGTAGGGGTCCTACCAAACCCCCCACCCACACTGAGTGGCTTTAAAGAAAAAAAAAAAAAATATCTACAGTTGCTTTTGCCAAGCTCACTGCAGTCTTTGTGATATGACCATTTTCAATAATGTTTTGCTGACCAAATTGTGGAATTAAATTTGAAGTCTAAATGACATAACAACATATTATTTATAGTCTTTACTGGGATCCAAATGACATGACACTAAATAAAAAAGCCCAAGTCAGCTGTCATGTCATTTGAACTCTAAATTTGGTCAACGTAGTATTACTAAACCATTTTTTTGAACAAAAGTAGGAGTTGTACCATAGTTTTTTCGGAAGGTGATAAGGGTCAGTGTAAGTCTAGGCCCTGAAGACCTTCAAAGCCCACAAATAACAGCCCAAGAAGTCCATTAAGAGAATAGTCCTCTGGGCTCAAACTGGGCTACAACGTAGAGCCAAGACCTGACCAAGGGAAGCTCGAGATTAATGAGCTCATCACCTATGAGCTCGAGACATGGAAGCTAGGAACAAGGTCAGCTTTGCAAAGGGACATGTGACAAGGGGACAAGGGAACATTGTTTGGCGGCTCTAATAAATAGTAATCCACAGGTAATGGAGACAGATCAAGGACAACAGTTTTCAGATAGTGGAATTAGAAATGTGTGGGACAACCATACCAGGGTGGAAGTGGATATGGAGGGGACAACTAAACCAGCCAAGAAGGATGAATGTGAAACCCTAGCTAGTATAAATGGCTGGGATTGCTACAGTGCACATATAGAAAATATTGATAAGCAAGCAAGAGAGAATCGAGTGATATCTTGTAACGGCTTCAAGTTTCACTCTTTGTAACAACCACCGTCTTCCTCAAGTAATACAATCCTCCAAGAAGCAAGAGCATCCCTTATAGTGAATGTAACCTTAGTCCTTCAACTATAACGAACCACTTAAGTTTTGTCTTCCTTTCGTTGTCCATTTATAGCACACACCCATTCAAGCAATCACACACACTATTCAGTTCTGCAACCCAGGTCCATCAGTTTTGAGCATCAACAGAAGGTAAAGAGTAATTGATATTGAAATCCAAAAAGATCTACAAAAAAGTGGCCCGTAGCCTAGCAAAAACATTGGACTATATCCACTGTAGCAGCAAAAAACATAAAACAACAGTGGATGTAACACTAGAGGGTTGGATTCCTCTGGAAGTATAGACCTTGTGCCCACACTTCCAATAGAACCCTCCCCTCCCAATGTTCCATGTACAAAATGTGACAACAAGCCAGTGGAGCAATGCTGCATAAGAAGAGAAAATGTGAGACTAATGTAGCCTTAGGCAACTACTTTGGAAGATTCCATTTCTGTGCAAGTAGATGATTTTGAGCAGAGGACTTAAATTTGGTTGAAGCAAGTCTATGCCGCATTGTATGTGCAATGCTTTTGATGAGGGTATTTCATCCAAACTTTGATTAGAGAATATACTCTTGTTCCTTTCACGCCACAGGTGATAGAGTGTGATTGAGAGGCGTAATTTCAGGATTGTTGAGTACATAGAATTGCCTCTCCAATTCAGACTTAGGCTCAGAACTAGGCACGATGGTGTAAGTTCTATATGGTAAAATGCTAAATTCGATTAGATCGGTGGGACGATACAAATGTTGCAATATAGTAACTTGTCAGAAAGACTTGAGTTTTTCTGTGAGGACCGAGCCTCAAGGAAAGGAGAAAGGGGCTCCTAACATTCATTTATATTTTTTAAAATATAAAGATAAGGTGTGGTGTGGTGTGATGTGATGTGATGTGACGTGATTACTATGGATTCATATCACCTTCTATTGGGGAGACCGTGGCAATATGATCTATCTATCAGGCATGATGGGAGGAGGAACACTTACATTTTCATGTGTGATAACGTTAAAATAGCTTTGTTGCCTAGTAGAGATCTTTCCCCAAAGCCACCATCTTGGGGAACTTATAATGTGTTGTCCAGGCCCAGTTTAAAGAAGAGATATCTAAATCAAGAGTTATTTATGTGTTGATTTGCAAGGAGCGGGCTAGCGAAGTTTTTGTCCTTGAAGGACTTCAACCTTTACTTGAAGAATTTTAGGATATCTTTCCGGATGATCTATCGGATGAGTTACCACCCTTGCAAGATATTTAGCACCAAATCAATTTGATCCCTATTGCTAACTTGCCCAATAGACCACATTATTGGATAACCCCCAAACAAAGAGCATGAAGAGTTTCACAGGCAGGTAAAGGAGCTTTTAGACAAGGGGGCACATCAAGAAGAGTCGCAGTCCTTGTGCAGTACTGACCTTGTTCACACCCAAGAAATATGGTACTTGGAAGATGTGTGAATAGCATAGTGATTAACAAGATCACTGTTCGTTATAGATTCTCCATTCTTAGGTTGGAGGATTTTTTGGACTAGCTGAGTGGGACAAAGGTGTTTGTTGCTACTTTAAAATTGATCACTTAATTGCAAGTTGTGCGAAATAATAAATTTTTCGGGAGTACGAAATTGAACTATAGGGAATTGTCAAAAATTTAGAACATAAGGACAAATAAAAGAAAATTTGATTTAAAAAAAAATTGTTGTAGACATTTTGAAATTAAAAAATAATAAATTTGGTTTTAAAATAATAATTAAAAATACTAAAGTATTGGGGATACTTTTCAAATTCACACAGTAATTATTAATGATCCAGTTTTCGAACTCAATTGAGAATTAGTTGAGGAATGATCTCAATTAGAATATTTAACGGTGATAATATGAAAATATCAACAGTTATAATTAATGAATTATCTTAATAAATATAAAAATTTACTTATAGATCACAAGTATTCACCGTGTCCGAAGTCTATAATAAATCAAACTTTCCAATAGGTATACCTAATTTTATTGCAAATAATAAATCAACTATCTTATGAGAAATTTTAATTGATTAACTCAAGTATGAAATAACCAGTTATCTGACTCGCAAAGAATCTCAAGCATTCGATATACATAACACAACAAATCAAGAAATTATACAGAGGAAAATCTTTATTAAAAGACAAATATTGAATCAATAATAAATATCGTGGTTCATTGAAAATATCTTCCCTAACTTTAGTTGGACTTTTAGCAACCCATAGAACTAAAACAAAAACTAGAAAATAAAATAGGGGAAGAGAATAATAATCATCCCTTAATAGATGAGAATATTTATTTATACTAAAATAAATCATACGTATAGGTAGAAGATATAAGGTTGGATTGTGATGAATTCCTATTCCAAAAAAAGTCTTTTAAGGTTAAATCTCATGCATAAAATCTTCAAGCCGCGGGTATAAAATCTATCCAAATTTTGAGCTCGATTTTCACATAGTTAGAGGTTGATTCATGAAATACACTTTTGTAGAGTTTGACGTCTTCTTTCAAATCCTCCCAAAAATCAAGTCAATTGGTGTAACGCCCCAAAACACACCCAAGATGACATTATATTCTAAAATCATTCATATCATGAGAGTACTAATATAATCCTTTAAGAAACAAGACTTCATTTGTCATCCATGAATATTTACAACATTATCCAAAAGAATAAGCCCAAGTCATGGCTATTACATCTCAAAAATTAATTAAGGAAGCGCAGCGG